CGTGACGGTGAGGGCGGGAACATATGTGACGTAGCCATGCGCACTTACCAGACTGTCTCAAGTGGGATTTTTACTTTCGCCTGGCTCCGCTCCACGAGCCTCCGCTGACTGCGCACGCACCTTTCCAAACGGACAAGGGTTTTATACTTGTCGCATTTGCCGTTGTACTATTCTTTGAAACGACAGAAGGGGCCATGAGGAGTAATTGTCCTCTAAAACCATCGGGAATCACCGGTGAGAAGTCGATTTCAAGTTTTCCTGCTGCCATGTCGTGGAGACACTGTGTGTTTCATTATGAAAGCGAAACTACTTTGTTTGGCCTTCCAAAAGAGGACACAACTAGAAATCAGTGGCTAAGTTGTATTTACAACACTGTTCCAGAACAGTTCAAACCAAATATTCAGATGTGTGCAGCGCATTTTACGGAGGACGAGGACTGTTTCCTGGGAGAGTAGCCTACAATGCCAGTGTTCTGACAAATAATGCTGACTCGCTGCCTGCAAGTACGTTTTCCACTGATGATTCAAACGCGAGTTTTGAGCAGTGTAGAGAAGCGCTTGTTGTTTGTCGTTTCTCCGATCACAAATGCAGACATGATTTTATGTTTACGCAGCGCGATGCAACGCAATGAGTAAAAAGACAGTATAATCAGTAATTATGTCTCCACTGGATGCAACAAATCCCTCGTTTATAATGGGTTTTATTGGTTCATGTACAGTATGGTGAAAATAATGTGTTTTTTAACCTTAAACCGCAGAAACATTTCATTACACCAAATACACAAAATAATGTTATTTTTTAGCAATGTCATATGACCCCTTTAATGCCGAGGAAGACTCTAGCCTACAAGACTCTGAAGGACTGAACTAGGAAGGATGCAGCCTCGGTAGGATGCAGCCTTCCGTTTGAGAAGCACCCATAGAGAAAGCCCTTTACTTCATTCCTGAATGAATCAGCCATTTGAACGAATTTACCGCCACCTGCTGGTAGTTTTAGTTTCTTCTTTAGAGTATCATTTCATTTATTAAAAAAAAAAGGTATGATTAAAGGGATAGTTCAACAAAAATAAATAAATAAATTCTATCATCATTTAGCTACTCACCTTCATGTTGTTTCAAACCTGAATGACTTACTTTCTTTTGCGCGACATAAAAGAAGGTATTTTGAATACCGTTGGTAACTAAGCTGTTTTGGTCACTAGTGACTTTCATTGCATGAACAAAAAATACTGAGATGTTTCTCAAATGATCTTATAAAAAAAATAAAAAATAAATAAATAAAAAACATTAAAGGGATAGTTCACCAAAAATAAATTAATTAATTGTGTCATCTGTTTTGGTCACCAGTGACTTTCATTGCATGAATAAAAAACATTTAACACAATAATAGCTTTAAATTATCTTTTGGGGGTATTTTCACAGCCAAGTTTAGTTTGCGATTAATTCGATTAATTAATCGCATCACCCTGTGATTAATTCGGTTAAACATTTTAATCGACTGACAGCCCTAATATATATATATATATATATATATATATATATATAACACATACATGTATATTAATTTATAATATATATTTTTTGCACAAGCTTGTTGCTTCAGTAGCTGGCTAATTGAGTATTATTTTCTGCAAAGCTTGATATTGTTTCTTCATAAGACTTGATTGTGAACAATATCAATTTGCTTCTGCCATTATTCTTTAATAGACATGCTCTAAATTCTGAACTGAAAAAAAGTATAAATACTATCACTTGTACCACTTGTGGTAAGACTTGAATGCAGCATTTTGTGAATTGAAACTGATGGAGAATAGAGCTGGGGAATGAGCATCAGATTAAAACCCAAGCCTCCAATATGAGAAACCGATGCAAAAAAAAGTAATAAAAAATCTCATGTTGCCCTTTGATAACTGAAACCATTTCCCACCCTGAGGACCTCCTCGCGTGTTCGATAATTGTTTTCTTCATTGTTGTTTTGAAATCACGGACACGGCTGTTAAGACTAAGAGGAAATCTGCTGCTCCCCCATGACGCAGTTGGCCCAACTTTTCAGTAGTTGGATGGATTCCAGCTCCAGTTTGTCTAATCGCTAAGTGTGAGCGAGTACAGGGCTGCAGGGACTCTGGCTAAGATGAATTGCTTGCGTTCAGAGGTTACAGATCTCCGTCAGTCAGCTAGCAAGTGCCCCAACAGGGTGATTAATCGCTGTCAGGTGGAGTCCAACAAGTCATTATGCATCCTGTGCTGTGACTAGTGTCAGGCCGTCAGCACTTGATGTGGGTGATCACGACTTGACGTTCGTCTGGAGATTCACAAGATAATTGTGGAACCAGGATTAGTAATTAACCAGAATTGACCAAACTGAGATACACAGACCTTTGTGAATAATAATAATAATCATACATTTTATTTATTATTCATACACTATTGTTCAAAAGTTTGGGGTTGGGAAATTTGTTCAGTGTTTTTGAAATAAACCTCTTATGATCACCGAGGCTGGAATGATTTAATAAAAAATACATTAAAAACAAATATTGTAAAATGTTTTTACAATTTAAAATAACTGTTTTATATTTTATATTTTAAAATTTTATTTATTCCTGTGATGCAAAACTGAATTTTCAGTTTCACATGATCCTTCAGAAATTGTTCTTATATGCTGATTTGTTATTATTATTATTAGTGTTGAGAACAGTTGTGCTGCTTAATATTTTTGATATTTGTGAAAAGTGATTTTTTTTTCTTTAATGAATAGAAAGTTAAAAGAACAGCATTTATTTGAAATAGAAATAATTAGTACAAAAAAAAAATGTCTTATATAAAATCTATACAGTGCATTGTTTTGAATTTTTCTAATGAAAATATGATTGTTGCTTACCTGTTTTTTTTCATTGGTTGCTGAGGTTGCTCTGAGTGGTTACTAGGCAGTTAATGTGAGATGTAGATGACTCTTATCCTTGCAACAGTTTAGGGGATTTTTTTCACTTATTTCATCTTTACAAAGTGAAAGATTTTTTTTTTTTATCAAAATAAGTTAGAAATGTAAACAATTATAGATTTTAATGTAATTTTATAATTAACATCCATTATTGTTTATATTTCCAACCTATTACAAAAATAGCTATAAATATCATAACACAATAAATACTCTGCCTGAATATATATATTTTTTAAATAATTGTCTTCTCCCTGTGTTGGATTATACAGCTCTTTACTGTCTATCATCACAGTAGATTTTGGTGTAATCACTATTTCAAATTTCAAAGTTGTTGGTTCTTTCATATTCAGTGTTTTCAGAGCTGATTTTAGGCAGTTTGATCAAAACCCACTTCATATGAGACACACATTCATCCACATTCATAATGAGACAGCGAAAGCATAAACTGACAGGTCACTTTGGCGTTTGCAGAGGAGCTAAACCCAACTAAAAAAAAGCCTAGAATAGAGTATTATGAAATGTAATTTTAGATAACTGTTTAAGAAGAGAATTCACGATGGGAGCATGCTTTACAATGTATTTTAAACATCAGGTGCATTGTTTTTGTCTTGATATTTTGTCTGTGCTTCAAGCAAGAAGCTTTGTTGGTTATATTTGAAGCCTTCTAGTTTTGTCGTGTTCACTATCGGTGTAAACGCTGCATGACGTCGCTCAGCGTGAAAGCGTTGAGTTTTGCCCTTTGACCCTGAAATTAGATGAGTTTTACAGTTATCCCGCTACTTTTATAATGTTCTGATTAGGGTTTGGGAAGGGTGGGCTTGTTATATTTTATGTGGGTAGCAGGTGTACTGCTTTTCTGCCAGTTTTGTTTGCCATGCGGTGAAATTGCCAGGAGAGCGCAGAGCGCTGGACTGTGGCCATATTTCGATAGAAGAACACCCCCCCTCCATGTCACAGCATCTTTAAAGCTTGAGGGTAAGATGTTCACAGTTAATGAACGAACAGATGAGATGAGACTGGGATCTTGTTCAAATTCAGCTACAGGAAGGATGTGTGGATGGTTTCAGTGCTGTCATCTCACGCCAGAGCTTGCGTATCGATCAGTTTGTAAAGATATTGTTAAACAGTTGGCCGCCATAACTGGAAGTCTTACAAGCATAGTGAAATTAGCCGATTTGATTTTATAAAGATGTAGTTGTTATTAATAATAACAACAACAAATATTAGAATTATAATTACTATTATTTGTATTATATTATTATGCTAGCTGTTTTATCCAGTGGGCAAACCACACATTTATCCCACAAGCTTCATGAATATGATAGATTATATAACAAGCATATTGATTCATTTTTATGATGAGTGTGTATGATTTAATAAACATTTTCTGGAAAATACTACTACTAATATTAATAATTTAAAATTATTATCATGCTAGCTGTTTTATCTGATAAACATTCATTAGATATTATAAGAATAATACATTTAAATGATTATTGTTATGCTAGCTGTTTTATCTGATAAAGATTTAGTGGATAATAATAATGATAATATTAATGATTTGAATTATTAAAACATATATTTAGACCACAAGTTTCATGAATGATGGGTTTTTATAATAAGTATGTTGTTTCAGATTACTGATTTTTAATTATGGTGAGCTGCCTGTATGAATTAATAAACTTTTTTTGGGGGAAAATAATAATAGTAATAATAATAATTATTATTATTATATAAATGATTATTATTATTATTATTTAATTATTGAACAGAAAGTTCTGGTCCAGGTCAGGATGCTGATTGTTCAAAACAATGTTTCCGATTTGCTAAAATACACAGTATAGCATTTTACGACACAATGGTTAGAGATGGGAAATATAGAAACACTAATCTTTATAATGGCTCTTTTGTTTGATTTGGATTTTTTTAAGCCTTTGTGGATCGTCTGATGTCTGAGCTGCTCTACCACTGCAGAAGAATTCTTTCATATCAGGCTGGAGCCTTGACCAACGGTTAAGTTGAGAGGTTTGGATGTAGATCTGTATGTGTGTGTGACTTTGCAGGGGAAATTTTATCTGCTCATAGAGGAGCTGAGTCAACTCTTCAGAGCTTTGGTTCCCATCCAGCTGTGGTACAAGTACATCATGGGTGAAGATCCATCCAGCAGCTACTTCCTCGGGGCAACGCTGATTATCATCTACAGTCTTTGTAAGGTAGTCTATCTGATTTTACCTCTTCCAAAAAATGTATTCTATTTTTTTTTTAGAGCGTTTTTTTTTTCATACTTTTTCAAAAAGGGCCTTTATGAGCATGAGATCAATTTCATGTGGCGTTGCACTTCAAAGCCTTTCATAATGTCTTTTTCAGAGCTCATTATTCAGGTAATCTTTTCTGTGTGTGTGTGTGTGTGTGTGTGTGTGTGTGTGTGTGTGTGTGGAGTTACATTTGCTGTATTCTTCTGTTCCAGTCTTTTGATTTGTGTGGAAGAATATCTGGTATTCGGAAAGCATTCGTCATTCTCTGTAGCTCACAGGTGAGTGCTGTATTCTCCTAGGCATCAGCATATTTTCATGATTTCTGAAGGATCATGTGACACTGAAGACTAGAGTAATGATGCTGAAAATTCAGCTTTGCATCACAGGAATAAATAACATTTTAAAATATATTCAAATAGAAAACAGTTCTTTTAAATGGTAATAATATTTCACAATATTACTGTTTTTACTGTATTTTTGATCATTTAAATGCACCCTTTATGATACATGCATGTGTTTCACAGAGTTACGGTACGAGAGCCAGTGCTCAGCAGTGCAGTGAGGCCGGGGATGTGTGTGCGATCTGCCAGGCTGAGTTTAGAGAGCCAATCGCACTGCTCTGTCAGGTAAGGGACCTTTAAACTTTAAAATAAACCAGGATGTGATTCAGGACAGCAGCCTCAGACCACAATGACCCAGATTTTATGATGACAGTAATTATTTAGCTGACACTTTTATTTAATTCCACTAACAGTACAAGGCCATTCAAAACTATTAAACAGCACAAATGATCTGAAGCACCCCAGATCTGCACACTTCCAACTTCATGAGTAGCATCCTGGAATGCTGTTTAAACAGTATTGAAGGAGTTCCTGTGTGTAAATGTGTCTTAAATATGTTGTCTTTCTGCAGCATGTGTTCTGTGAGGAGTGTTTATGCCTGTGGTTTGACCGTGAGAGAACGTGTCCGTTGTGTCGGTCAGCGGTGGTCGAAACTCCGCGCAACTGGAAGGACGGCACAACGTCAGCACACTTTCAGATCTACTGAATGGAGACCCAGCTGATTGATGAAGGTTTTCAGGTCGACTAGAATCAGATAAAACATGCATAAAATGATCCTGTTTGTAATGTTGTAAAATGGGAATTGTGACGATATGTTACGTCATTGAATGTAATGTACAAGCGCACCATTACATTATGTCCGATAACAGAGATAAGTGTTTCTTTGTCTTCTTATACCTACTTTTCTACACGTAAAACTTTTTTACTCCGCTAAAAAACTTCAGGCCATATAGGATGTAGATGAGTTTGTTTCTTCATCAGAACAGATTTGGAGAAATTAGCATTACATCACTTGCTCACTAATGGAGCAGTGAATGGGTGCCGTCAGAATGAGAGTCCAAACAGCTGATAAAAACATCACAATAATCCACACAACTCCAGTCCATCAATTAACATGTAGTGAAGTGAAAAGCTGAGTGTTTATAAAAAACAAATTACACCATTAAGATATTTTAGCGTTAAACTGTTGCTTCCCGCTAAAATACGAGTCCTCTATCCATAATATTGCTTTCTGCAGTGAAAAAGTCATCTAATCTGAATCAGGAGAGAAATATGCACAGATCAAGCACCGCTTACAAGCAAAAACAGTTCTAAACAAATATGATTGTGGATTTTGATTTGAGAGAATGACAGAGAATTAAGTTTTTTTTTTACTGGAGGAAGTGTTATTTTTATAGACTCTTATTTTGGCCAGAAGCAACGGTTTAAATTTAAAAGACGCCTTAATGATGGATTTGTTTCTTATAAACATGCAGCTTTTCACTTCACAAGATGGACTGGAGTCATGTGGATTATTGTGTTGTTTTCATCAGCTGTTTGGACTCTCATTCTGACGGCACCCATTCACTGCAGAGGATCCATTGGTGAGCAAGTGTAATGCTAAATTTCTCCAAATCTGTTCTGATGAAGAAACAAACTCAACTACATCTTGCATGGCTTGAGGGTGAGTACATTTTCAGAAAATTGTCTTTTTTGGGTGAATTATTTCTTTAATCTGGAGTCAGTCTTCTAAATTTTTGTAAAGGTCTAAATTATTTATTAAAGCAAAAAGACACAACCAGATGTCACAAGCTTTATAGCAAATTTAAAGCGGTAAGATAACCCCAGTTAACTGTGGTAAAATCACTCTATAATTATCTCATTGGTTTGTTGTTTATATAAAATGTGACAAAAGTAATATGTTAAAAACACTGATGTTGGATAAATAATTACATTAATAATACAAAATAAGTTATTTTTCAATCCCATTTCTAGGGCTATTTGTTTCATAATGACGTTTAAAAGACTTCTCCGTGTATATATTTAAAGTCTTTTATTTTCATAAATGACCAAATTCACAATATCAAAATAGCAGAGGTAAAACATGTTTAAAACACGTGGTAGAAACATAAACTATAAAAGATCGTAGCTTATGTAAACATCAGTAGCATGCCCTTGGATTCACATTTCGCATGAAATCTCATTCATGTCACATTTCTATATTAACACTGACACAAACAATCAAGCCAGAAGCCCTTTATAAAAAGTCTAAAAAAGATTTGTCTTCATTTGTAAACATCACGTTCAAATACACTTAAAATCATTCTACAGTATAAATATGCTTTCCATTGAGAAGAGTACAGTGTAAAGGACAAACAAAAGTAATAAATATCTCATCAAAACAACAAAGAAACAAAATCACAGCTCAGATATTGAATGGCATAGTCACTTACAGTAGCTTATAACTAAATGTTACAGTGCATCATGCAGAGGAGAGGTTTTGGTAGCAGTGTTTTTGGTAGCTCTCCTCTGAAGATTGACCTTGATTGATCGTGTTTTAGTCATTTACAGCTTTTGCATATCCGAAGCACCCTCTCAACTTTTACCAACAACAAGAAAGCTCATCAAAGTTGAAGCAAGGCTCCTATTGCCATAGTGGTAGAAAAATTTCCTTGCAAATGCCAAGGGACAATGACATAAGCCTTTTATTTTGAAAGGTTTCCCAGGAGACACCGTGGGTTTGACTGCACTGACCTTAAGACTTCTAACCAAACAAACGTGTACCATTATGACATTGGCTTGTGGTGTTTAGATAATCAAGAAGACTTCAGGATGAAGCATTGGTTGTTATGAAAAGTGATCAGCACGCTTGTAATATACAGCACAGATGCGTCTGGTGTTTGCGTGTTTCTGTTACAACACTACTGCAGATGTTGTGATATACATGGATGAGAAAACATCGACCCACTGTTTGCATGGCAAGTTTCTACAGAGTGCAGACGTGATCGGCACCTTCTCCTCTCCAGTAAATCTGGAGCGGATCATCCCAGGAGAATCTAATGGAGGAAAAAAATGGGAATTAAGCCGAGATTGCATTATTTATCAGTGCACAGATGTTAAGTCTTTATGGGCCATTTTTATCCAAAATGTGCAAAAAGTTCATTAAATTCATTAATTTATTAAATATAAATCTTTAATAATATATATTGTTAAGATTTATATTTAATAATATATTTTATTTTAACAATACATATTTTATTATAATGAAATATGTTTTATTTTATGTAAATAAAGAAAAGAATATAATTACCAACCAAAAAAAATTTACATTTTTATTTAGAAGTCGTGGGTTTAAAAGTCATAATACAAAAATACACCTTTTAATTATTGCAAAGTTGCGTTTTAATTAAAGCCCAGGCAAGGTTTTAACTGCTAGTACCTTCCATTTAATGTGTATTTGTTCATAAATAATTGATGATTTATGAAGGATTGAGCAATTTGTACTTTTTTCCCCGCAATATTTTGTATGTACCTTCAATGATCAAACTTTCCAAAATAACAGCTTTGTAGACACTTTGTTTGATTTATTTACATTTGCATGGGTTTACTTCTGTCAAATGCCATTAAGGTCACATTGAAGTGAGGAGTCATGCATCACTGATACAATATGTACATTTCTGAAAACGAAATATGATGTCTTGTACCATTTTTAAGCATATTCAATTGTACTACCTTCTATTTACAAAGTACACATTATTATTGCTATTAATGCATTTAATCAATTTGACTCCAATATAATAGGTGTTACGTAGAAACAAAGCATTTCTGTACATATGTCAATATAAAAGTCCAGTAATGTATTTTCTTGAGCTCATTCTTACCTGTTGCTGTAGATCAGCAGAGCCTCGTCTCACCTACAGGTGTCGCTTTTTGACTAAAAACACCAGAAGCGTTACTTGAATGACTGTGCACACGATGTGGATGCTTTTGATGATGTTTTCCCCGCCGCCTCCTCGTCGTCCACCGTCGGAGCTTTTGTCGTTTGCAGCCCATCTCTTCTCCAGCTGGTCCCCGATCCAGCGCAGTCGGTGCGCAAACGGCAGCGGAGCGCATCCGTGGGCGCACACGGAACCTCCGAGTGCGCCTAAAGTCTGCTCCACCGGCAGACAGCACATCGTCTCCTCTCGTGCGGGCTCTAGCTAGTCTCCTTTCCCGCTGCAATCTTTGCTTAGACGTGGAGAATGGCGTTTTGTTCGGCTGTCGATGGAACAGTGTGTGTTTGTTTCTGTCGGCGCTATGATTTATTAAAGTGTCACATGGTTTAGGGTTTACATCACCATCTCCCCAAAGACAGCGGTAATGGTTAACTCTTCACTGTCCTGTTCTCTCGCATCACACGCTTTTGTCTTTCCTGCAACAAGAGGGTGATCTGGAATGTGTTGCGTTGGTTGTGCTCATTCAGATGTGAGCAGATACTCTATTGATGAGATTTGGAAACATTTGTAAAAAAAAACATTTGCTGCGTCTCAAACACATACCTAGACAACATTCATGGTGCATTACAGAATACAGTGAAGTAAGAAAAATAGTAAACGTGTAGTAAAATAGAAAATATTGCTTTTTATACAATTTATGGATAGTATACATTTGATCATTTTTGCATTATACATGTGACTTTTTTTGGACATTATGAGCACATGCACAATAGAACACAAAAGTGCATAAATGGGCACTCTGTTCTATTCTATTCTATTCTATTCTATTCTATTCTATTCTAAAGGGTTCTTGAAGACACACATATAGCCTAGCATTTTTTTTATATATAAAAAATATTTTTAAAAGACTGAAATCACAAGTTTTAAAATGTCCTGGTATTCTAAAAATGTAACAGCTAAATAATACGCCTAATTACATAAATTAGGCATACTTGTCTCTTAAAATACTAAATATATAGATATTTAACCCTTTAACTGTCACCCTGTGGGATGCCTAAGTTTACTTCACTATATTACAATTAAATCCTAATCTAATCATGACAAACTATATATCGTTGGAAAGGTCTAAGACTCCTAAATAGATATTTTACCAATGTTTTTGTAAAAAATTATGTAGGAAAAGTAATAGATTAATTTATGACAAGAGTGCACCTCAAAAATCTACATCATAACAGGAGTTCTGACCTTTGTCACAACAAGTCTTCTTTGTTGCCTTTTTCTCTATCACACTTTAGAAATCATCAGAAATGATATATCAATTGAAAACTTAAAATCTCAAAATTCATCCTTTGAAACCCATTTTAAAATCAAACGTTGCATTACCATGAAAATGGTACATCAATATCATGTTACAAGATGTTTTTGTTCATGAATTATAAAAATTAAGTTTGGACCGTGCACTTTCACGTCTATGTTCAAAAATGTGAGTGACAGTTAAAGGGTTAAATATATTTGTATATTTCACCCGCTACAGCTTCAACAACATTGGATTTTTTAATTTTTTTGTGTAATTGTGCTTGTATTTTTCCGTGTTACAACCGTGTCAACTTTGTTCACACAAATTGTAACGATACTATTTTGAATTTTTTTACATAATTTACCTAATTTCACCTAAATCCTATCAGAAGAAACAACAACAAATAGCTACTGCATTAAATAGCCTACATGAGACAAAATATAAGCTAGATTTTATCTACATGCTTAAGACTTTCTCCTTAATAACTGTGTTGACAGTTTAATATAAGGAGCTAGTAATGAAACCAGTTGTCCCACTTCATTCTTTCAGTGACATAAATGCCGTATAAGTTCATAACACATTTTTTGAATAGTTATAATCAGTGTTGGGGGTAACGCATTACAAGTAACGCGAGTTACGTAATCAGATTACTTTTCAAGTAACTAGTAAAGTAACGCATTACTTTTTAATTTACAAGAGAATATCTGAGTTACTTTTTCAAATAAGTAACGCAAGTTACTTTTTTCCCCCAATTTATTGATTGACAGCTCTCCTGTCCCCATGTTGAGAGAAATCAGAAGAGGTTACTGTAGTTCTAAAATAAATATGAATATGCATTAATTCATCTCACTCACAAAAAAAAACAAAAACACAGATTCAGTATTCCTCAAAATGAATAAAAATAATGCAACTCAGAATATGACGCAAACCTGCAATAATTAAATGTTAAACAACACAAATATCCTTTATGTATTTAATCCCATTCTATTAACCAATGTCTTTGCTTCTGACCTTCGATGATCCAGTTCAACCGTACTAATAAGCACAAATTACTCTAGACAAACATTTGTGTCTTTTTTTATTGCTGAAGTGTGTTGAAATTTCTTCTTCTGCATTCTACTGTACGGACGTAAATTGACTTTCCCTTCAGCCTGAGGCTTATTCATTTCACTTTTGGTGTGAAAAGGCTTTTATATTTGCCAAAAATATAACTTTTTTATTTTAAAAACAAACAAGCAAGCCCTGTCCAGATTTAAAAAGTAACGCAAAAGTAACGTAACGCATTATTTTCCATAAAAAGTAACTAACCAAATTCGTTACTTTTTTATGGAGTAACGCAATATTGTAATGCATTACTTTTAAAAGTAACTTTCCCCAACACTGGTTATAATAATATATCTTGTCAGTATTTATAATAAAAATGTACACCACGTGTCATGTATTAGGATTACTGTGGTTGTTACCGGTATCGGTCGTTAGAGGGCGCTGGGGACAGGTAAAATAAATCTGGTGAGTCTGGAGATAAAGAAGTGAAAAATACACAGTGAAGACAGAGTTGTGTGCGTGGTGTGATTATTTAATTTAGACAAGAGATGTAACATCATGTGCTGACCAATATTAAGTAATAAACACATTTTGTAAAAAAAAAATGGAAGAAGCAGGTGATGTTGAACACATTCATCCAAAAAGAATTCCCTGATAAACATAAACCGTTATTGTTTTTAGTTTTTTTAGAGTCTTATTAATCAGTGATGTAATATATTTGGGTATATTTATCAGCCTATGACAGTATTTTGTATCACACATTTCTATAGCTACATTTAATAAATGTTTGCCCTACACGCGCAGTTTTATGTATTATAAGCGCCTGCAGCGGTTATCGCAGGTTCTCTGGTTACGCTCGAAATGCTGTCTATGTAGACAGCTCACTAGTTTCTGAGACACAGCCTTTGTCTTGTATTGTAAATAATTGTTCGGTCGGGTGGGTGAGGAATAAGCGCCACGCGGAACAATTCCGCGTGAACACGATGTCCCAGCCGAGGCCATTTCGCGGTTGGATCGCTGTTTGTTTTGATGCCAGCAGCGGGGTTCCACAAGACTTTCGTGTGAAAATAACGTTTATAAAAATGAATGCAAACGCAACGTGATTAAATGGGAATGGAAGAGGACGAGCTTTCGACCTTCAGAGAGCGATGGAAACAGGAGTTAAAGAAAAATACCAAGACATCGTGTAAAGACAAAGAGAGATATTTTGGGCATCCCAGCAAAGACAGCTCATCTCTTCACCAGAGCGCGAGCTTTTGGGAGAAACAGAGCAATGCGTCCGAGCAAAGTCAGCCCACGCCAAAAGACCAGCCGCAGTACGTGTCGATCGCCGAGGGTTTGTTGGACGGCAGAAGCAGCCCACTGCTGGACAGAATCGAGCAGGAGCGAACGCGTAGGAAACGCGCTCCCTGGAGCGAGGCGCTCAACACAGACGCGCCCCCCAAAAAAGGCAACAAGTGCCAGAAACTACTCGAGCAGTTCCTTCAGGACCTGGTAACGCTTCTGTTATGTAGCTGTTCAAGATATTGACTGTGTTTGTGTTAATAATAAACCCGGATTTGATGTGTTTAGAATGAGATGAATGACATCCCATTCTTTGATGTGGAGTTGCCTTATGAACTGGCGCTCAAGATTTTCCACTTCCTGGGCAGAACGGATCTAGGACGATGTGCTCAGGTAAATATGAATGAGTGCATGCCTATTCTATTCTGTTCTGATTTCCAGGTGATATTTTTATTTTATAGTGCTTGAAGTACAATGGTTAATATTCTCTTCATCAGTGTTGGGGGTAACGCATTACAAGTAACGCGAGTTACGTAATCAGATTACTTTTTTCCAAGTAACTAGTAAAGTAACGCATTACTTTTTAATTTACTTTTTAATTGAGTTACTTTTTCAAATAAGTAACGCAAGTTACTTTTTTCCCCCAATTTATTGATTGACAGCTCTCCTGTCCCCATGTTGAGAGAAATCAGAAGATGTTACCGTAGTTCTAAGCATTACTTTTAAAAGTAACTTTCCCCAACACTGCTCTTCATTTCTTTTGTTCCAGGTGTCTAAATCCTGGAAGGTGCTGGCTGAGGATGAGGTCCTGTGGCATAGATTGTGCCTGAAGGAAGGTTATCACAATGGGGCAAGTATCTCTGACTCCCCCTGCTGGAAGAGCACACTCAGAGACTGCCGCAACACTGAGAATGTGGTGAAGTCAAACTGGAAGGTAAACAGCACCTTGCCTATACAATCCCAGAAAGGGTTGATCATTCTAAAACAAGAACATTTATTACAATAGGACTAATATTAATTTTTATGTTCAATGAATTTATGAATTATAAGCTAAAATACAATTAAAATTAAAATCATATAAAAATCTGAGATACAAAAGTAATTTAGTTTGTCTTAAAATAATATTTTTACACCTCTAACAGAATCGTGTTGGGTCCATTCGTCATCTGCAGTATGAGCTGGGAAAGGTGTTGTGTGACGTCAGTTCCTTTGCTGGTCTTGTAATTGCTGGGTATGCTTTACTGAGGCACATATGATTAATAAGCTATATGTTTTCCGAACACTACAGATCACATAATCATTGTGTGTGTCTGTTCTGTACAGCTACACCTCTGGTGATGTCCGCCTGTGGGACACGCTACACTGGGACAAAGCTTACCTGCACCCCACACATTCCATCAGAGATGAAACCTCTGCACCTTATGTTAGTCACGTACGCGTCAATAAGACCGTAGCCACAGCCGCTTATGAGAATGGTAAGAGATTTGTAGGGTTTTTTTTTTTCACCACTTTTTTTTTTTTTTTTGCTAAAAGAATAACACATTTCCTTTAACAATTTACAGTGGGTTCCATTTGTTGCCATGAGTTAGCCACAGTAGTTCACAAGAACAATATAAAATACTTCAAATGCATTTATTAATTATTAATAAATAAATAGATATCACCTTTCTTCACCAGTTGGTCGATTACATTAAGAATTAAAAAAAAAAATTCTGTTACAAATTTTCTAAAATGTTATGTTTAAATATGGGCATTATATAATTAAATATGTATGCATTTGCATGAATTTCCAGAACATAAATCTGAACACCGTGCAAAGCCAGCTTCAAAATTTTTGCTTCATTTTGTTGACATAGCAGGATCAAAGGATTTTACAGAGGGGTTTTTGGATGTCTTTTTATCACCCCCATAAATCAGAAAAGAAAAAAAACATTCACCCTGATTTTGAGAAAAAAAAAAGTTCAGGGTGATGATATATGAACAAACCCCTCTGTAAAAACATAAATAGGAATACAACTGTAATGTAAGTGCTGCTAAATTGAGATTTCTGGCTCTGTGCAAGAAAAACTAATTTTGAGAAACCCTTAACTCAAATTTTAATTCTGATAATACATTTTGTCATGTATGTTTAGGCTGTGTAGATGTGTGGAGCACTGAAACAGGTCTTGAGCCCATTCATCAGTACCAGCACCTCCAGAGGGTTCATGCTCTGGATCTAAGTCCCGACAGTCCGGCTTTGGCCTCTGCATCAGGACCAAATGTGCGGGTGGACTCCCCAGATGAGCAGAGCTACTGGAGATCACAATATCTCGTTCAGTTACCAAAGCCTGTGAGTTTAATCTGAGACGAGCAGAGCAGATGCCAACTATAGTAACAGCTGACAAAATGAGTCATGCATGTGGGCCATTTTGGCACCAGAAAGACATTCCATAGATTCAGGCAGTTTGTTGCATCCACAACTCAAGCAGAATAATGCATAACCACGAACCAATCATGTATTGATCAGAGAAACTGTGTTTTGCAGGTAGATGGGGTATTGGTGGTGCCAGGGAGGCGGGACGTCCCTTTGGTCACAGTGTGGGCAGGTGAGAGTGTTTACCTGCTGGATTCCAGATGGAATGAAGAAGAGGAACCAAGAGTTCTTCACTCTGTATACGGCCATCCAGTGACCTGTGTAGATGTGTCACCCAGCAGAGCTGCACTGGGGATCAAGAGCTGCGGATGGGGCATGAACGACGGGGGAAACAAGGTATCTGTACAATCACATGGTGCACTTTTGTGCAATGTAATAAAAAATAGTAATAGTAAATAAATAATGATAATAATTCACTTTTTTTAAAAGAAATTAATACTTTTATTCAGTATGTATGCATTAAAGTGATCAAAAGTGACAGTAAAGCCATTTATTATGTTACAAAAGATTTCTATTTCAAATAAATGCTGTTCTTTTGAACTTTCTATTCATTAAGGAATCCTGAAAAAAATGATTATTATTCAGTACAACTGTTTTCAACATTGCTAAAAAATCTCAAATGTTTTTTGAGCAGCAAATCGGCATATTAGAATGATTTCTGAAGGATCGTGTGACACTGAGTAATGATGTGGAAAATTCAGCTTTGCATCACAGGAATAAATTACATTTTAAAATATATTACAATAGAAAACAGTTATTTTGCATGGTAATTATATTTCACAACATTACTGTTTTACTGTTTTGTTTTTTTTTTTTAATCAAATAAATGCAGCCTTGGTGAGCAGAAGAGACTTACTTTAAAAACATTCCAAAAATCTTACAGACCCCAATTATTATTATTATTATTATTAGCAGTAGTAGTAGTAGTAGTAGATTTCCCTTCAAATCTGTTTGCTAAGAAAGCTATAAAAGATCTCTCACATCAAAACTGACCAGATTTACTTTCTTAATACATGTTTCTGGTCTTATTGTGCACAACTGTGCATGTTATTCCAAGTACAAGCTGTTTTATCATATCAAAATGACTTTATTATGTTGCCTGATGTCACCAAGCACTCTTATTTTTCAATACCATTTGGGTATGCAGTGCCCACTTTTCATAATCCAGTGAATATCTAATTAATTAAATCAAGCCCCACCATACGTTTTTCCTGTTGAATGTCTTATTGTCAATATAGGAAATCTTGCATTGCCATATACATAATAGAGAGACTACTTCTGATAAATGATTGGCTATTTATACGGAAGGAGGCAAATTACATTTCTTAATCCATTTCCTGTTTTCTGCTGCCTTTTGTGTTGCATCATTTGCATATCCAATCAATTTATGCATCAGAGTAGACATTAGGGTTTTCCAGATTTGATTTTAAGCACTCTGTTACTAGAGTAATCTTTTACTTAAACAACATTTAATTAGATTATTTATGTTGTTAAATTTATTTAAAAATACATTTTTGAGATTTACCTTTGCAAGCTCTTCAGATGTAATGGCTGAATTTCAACAAACGATAGTGGTGAAATATAAACTTTGTTGACTTGTTTTTGATCGTACTCTACCTTTAAAGCTGACAGAATAGTAGAAATCATGACTAATTTCAAGTTTTAAACATTTTTCTGTTGGTCAGACAACAAGGTCCTTTCTATACTCCATCCATTGAATTATATTCAACCTAGTCAGGCTGCTCAAACAAACATCACAATTCCATTTTGTGCCACTGGTGGTACAGAAATAACACATCTTTAAAAAAAAAAAAAAAAAAGATTTATTTTTGGTGTTTTATGCCTTTATTTAGGTAGGGCAGTAGGTGGACTGGAAGCGAAGGGGGAGAGAGAGAGTGGGATGGGATTGGGAAAGGTCCTGGGACTCGAACTTGAGACGCCCGAAGCACAACACACTGCCCACAAGGCCATCAGGGCCAACACACATTTCATCTTTTAATTGTGCAAAAATATATTGCATGATTTATTAGCAGATGATTTTATCTAAAGTGAATGACAGTACATTATTACAGGATCAATTGGGAGTAAGCTGAGGTTTAGAGCATTGCTCAAGGGCACAGAAGTGATGTTTTATAGATCATCTCTTATGAGTGTTGTCGCTACCAGCTGAGATCTTTAACCACTGAAGCCACACCACCACATGATGTCAACAAGTGTGGTCTGGTGATCTCATGTGGCCCATCCCTGATGTTTACATAATTTGAGCCCACCAGTGAAGTTCAGTGTGACCTTATTCCCAAAGTCATGATAAATAAAAAGTTGTTGTTATCTTAGGAATAGACCTGTTACTTAATTAACCCAACCTTGGGTCCCAATGCTCCCAAATAATCCCTAGTAGTATGTTTCTGTAGTCTGGCATGTGAAGCTCTGAGATTCATTTAGAGGCCATAGACAAAACGGTGTTATTTTAGTATGTACTATTATAGTTTTTTGTTAATATTTTGAATTAAATGTCATTTTATATTTTCTGTTTTTAATTACATTTTTTTTATTAAAAATGTCATTAAAATGTCTATATTGTAATTAAAATATGTCTACATAGTTTTTATTACCTGTTAGTTTTAGTTAGTTTAGTACGCAAAAGAGAAAGGGTTATTATAGTTAATTAAAACCATAAAAAAATTAAATAACTTGAAATAAAATAAATGTTAACCGAAATAAAGTATATAAATAAACGTATTTTATTTCAGCTAGTTTCCAAGGCAACATAGTCTCATTTTCATTTAGAATTAACTTAATGTAAAACAACTAAAACTAGAACTGAAAAAATAAACTAAACTAAAAATTACATAGACATATTTAAAAACAACAAAAACTAATAAAAATGACAAAAACACACAACAAAATTACTAAAACTGTAACTAAAATTAACACGAAAGCATGAAATATAAAAATAAAATATAATTCAAAATAGTAATAAAAACTATAATAGTATCTCAATGTTACTAAAATAACACTGGCTGAAATAAAATAATACTAATAAATAACAATTAATGATTAGAATTATGATTATAAAGTATCATTATTCATAAATAATAGTTAATAAAGTTAATTAAAATCCATAATAAAAAAAATGCAAATATTTTATTTCAGTTAATGTTTATTTTACTTCAATTCAAATGTTTTTGTTTTGTTTTTAGTTTTGGTTAACAATAGCAACCCTGGTGCAAAGTTTCTCCAGAGGCTTTGAGTTTATGCCGGTGCAGTCTTGTACTCTTACTCTCCTGGTTAAAAGCTCAACTATCATGTGAAATAGACCTTAAAATAAACCTCTCCAAATCACAATAGCCTTCACGGCAAGTCTCCAGTGTATTTATGCAAACGTTTAAATAGTCTGTGTTCGAGTCTCTGGGGGGAGATCAGCGCTCGAGGGGGAGGGATGGGTTTACTCAGGGGAGGCTGGTAGTTTTTCAGTGAAGCGACAGGCGTAGATGTTGACAGTAATCAGATGAGTGCTTGATAGATGGATGCAGATGGTGTCCTGTTGTATCACACAATGCTTTGGCTCTCCTTCTCCACTGACATCACCCTCATTTAAACACTCTCATTAACCAAACGGGCACCGGCGTGGCTGTTTAGAGGTAGCAGAGAGTTTAAACGACAGGACAGTTTGTCAAAGTCAGCCTCTGCTGGAGTGGATTGTTTCACTGTTTTATTTAATAGAAAGTGTTACAAGCATATCTCTTGTTGCTTATCTTGTTGCACTGATTTTTGAAAAACACATTGCATGGCCTAACAAAAAAGTGTTGCTTTTTTGTCAAAAAACCTTCTGTACATAGGCAGTGAATAGCTTTTTCTGCAGGTCAGTGCCTGTGAGCTGTGCATTTGAAAATACATTAACATAATAGAAACTTGTTATAAGAATATAAGAAATAAAAATGAAATAATGGAAAGAAAGAAGACCGTACCATACATGTTTTATCATATGGATGTTACTCTCCTTGTTGAAAAACTGTTTGTACCAGCCTAAACTGGTTTGCTGGTCTTAGCTGGTTTAAGCTGGTCTAGCCAGCTGAAAAGTGTCCTCCAAAACCTCTCTAAAACCAGCCAACAGACCAGCTTGACAAGGTGACCAACTAGAACCAGCAAACCAACTTAGGCTGGTTTACTTTTAGAATTTTAATTTGAACTTTATTTTATTTATTAATTTATTTTGTAGAATTGTAGTATTTAGATACTTAAAAAGGATATAATTTTATTACAATTGTAACAATGTAGCACATTGCCCTGAATGAACGTTTTACTACTTATAATAAATACATATAATAAATAGTGAATCAGATATTAAAGACATTTATAATGTTATAAAATAATTTGAATGCAAATAAATGCTCTTGCTTTGAACTTTCCGTTCATCAAAGAATCATAAAATCACAAAATATGAAGCAGCTGTTTTCAACATTCGTAGTACTCATAAGAAATGTTTTCAGAATTTTACTGCTTTTGAACAGTAGTGTATGTTAATATCATGGTAGCTTTTGTAAGGGTGATATGTTCTCAAACCTCTTGTCTATCAAGAAAACAACTGCTGATGTGTTGTTTTCCACAGATATTTATCATCATTTTACTTTAGGAAGTGAAACCGTTAACCTCACTTTGGTTTGATGCTCCTGTCTTCAGTCTTTCGAGGATCTCAGCACTTTATCTTGCAGCACATTTTGCAGGAATCATATGCTGTTTCATGTTGTGTCACTCTTCTGTGAGCTACTCTACAAGTTTTCATTCTACCAATTCATGATTAGCGCCTTTCCCATCCATGTGATGTCTTGTCTGTCAGCTGTGGTGCATGTTGACAGGATTTTCAAACTGCAAGAGGGAAGTCAGACGTGCCAGAACCGATGCTGGTGAATCCAAGGTGTTTGTGTGTTATTAAATGAGAAGACATATGCCTCATTAAAACTTGTCAAAAACAGAGTTCACTTGTCTGTGAGGTAACGGAGTGAGTCATAGCATGTTTTGGTGTTTATTTTTGAACTTGAGCACCATTCGGACTTTGAATTACTGTTATTACCAATGCACATTTTGTGATTACATATAATAATTAAGATGAGATTCGGATCTCAGCAGTTTTTACTAAGATGGCTAGTGTCTAATGTCTAGACGCCTTTATGTGTTTTCAGCTTTCTGTTGTCATCATCTTTGTTTTTGAGTTGGAGGACTGGAAGCTCTGGGCATCTGTTGTGTTTGTGCATCACAGTGTGTGTTTGAAGCGCTGACCCAGACACACACACACACACCGCGGATCATGCTGGCAAACCCTGAGGCGCCACTTTCATGTTTAACAGCCAGATAGGCTGGTGAAAATGTGGCACACTGTTGCACCTCCAGGTGCTGAAATTCAGAGATGTAGAGCAGTGTCTCGTGAGATCAGGATGACTCTGTTTAACAAGATATAAGGGCTCGAAAATCTAGAATTATACAGAATATAAAGGGACACATTACAGGAGTAATTGATGATTTTAGTTGTATTTGAGAGTTTTGGTTTCTACGGAGTAAACTTTCTATCGACTACCAAAATTTCAGAAAACCTCCAACTATTTTTGAATAGCCAACTATTTTAATTAATCACTTTCATCCAGTAAACAAAGTGCATCGGTTATCATTTTTCAATTATCATTTTCTTGAATTGTCATTTTGCTCATATGGCAAATGCGTCACAATAAGTACCAGCATTTTATTTTAGATTTTGACATTATTTTTTATTTGTTTTATTTTTAAATGTATTGTTATTATCATTAATATTATAATTTAACATTTTTTTTGTTTGTTTTATGTGTTGTAATTTTCAAAGTTTTTCTTTTTTTCTTTTTTTCTTTTTTTTTTAATTAAAATTTTAACCTGTTGACAGAGATCTCTGGTGATAACCAACCACAAAGCTATTTGACAAAAAAAAAGATAAAAAGAAAAATATTTAGTGGATATTGTAACAACAAAAGTATATTCCACTTTTGTTGTTATAACGTGCAAATTTGTGCAGATTTCATTATACAATTAAGCCTATTTTTATATTTAAAAAGAAACTTTAATAAAACCACAATACAAAGCATACTTATTATACAAAATTTTAAATACCAAATATGTTCTTTTAATACACTACTGTTCAAAAGTTTGGGGTCGATAAGATTTTAATTGTTTTTGATAGAAGAATACGGTAAAATCATTGTTAAATATTATTACAAATATTACTATTACAATATTAAAATAACTTTTGTGTTTTAATATAATTTAAAATGTAATTTATTTCTAATTCTAATTTGGTGCTCAAGAAACATTTCTTATCAAATTTGAAAACAATTGAAACTTAATTTAAACGAAATATATTCAGGTTTATTTGATAGGAGGACTTAATAGAAAGTTCAAAAGAACAGCATTTCTTTGAAAACGATTTTTATTTGGTAGCATTGTACATGTCTTTACTGTCACTTTTGATCAGTTTAAGACTTTTTGAGTCCTTGCTGAAATGTATTAATTTCTTTCCAAAATATAATCTGACCCCAAACATTTGAACGGTAACGTACATTTTAATGAAGTGAACACTGAATAGTTTCACATGCCAAAGCTTCATCTTGATTTAAAGGTGGTAATGTTTATATGAAAATGCTATTTGTGAAATGTGCTCAACCTCAGTGCAACAGCTAAATCATTGTTTACGTGTGTAAACGCCTCCATAACCTCCCGAATCCCGTAATGATGAATAAATCCCAAACATAATCCCAGTAGTCTGTCTTCTCGCCAGTGACATATGCACTCATCGCCACTTCATTCTAATCAGCTTTCCTCCTCAAGTCTTTACATATTGTAGCTTTACATATTGGAAGCTTTTCTCGTGTCTTGATGACAAACTCCAGTTGGCTGTAATTTTTGGGTCCTCTCAAGGATTTTGGCTGGCAGCACGGTGGCTTGCAATTAAGTGTGTCTGGCCCAAACTGGAGGCACTAAACAGCTGGCATGAGCTCAAATCTGACATCATGCAGTTCTTCTCTCTTCTCTCTCTCTTTTGTTTAACATCTCTATCTGTTGCCTCAATAATTTGCGTCCAATTTGGCCCGTGCCGTTGTCTTTCCTTTGCTCACTGTTTAAATGGCAGCTGATGCAATCAGTTAAACAATCTCTTTTTAGGATTGAATTACCTCAGAGATGGCGTTTAATGTGAGCGGATTGATCAAGAGCTTCAGATGTTTTAAAGCACCTGGACTGGCGGTACACTGGCTCATTTTCAATTATTAAACACTTTGCTTCTCTGTGTCTTCAGAAAAGTTTGATTGATAAAGTGAGAAGGAAGTGAGTGTCAGAGTTTGCAGTTTAGAAGACCTACTTCTTGATTAACTTAACTGTAGTAAATTATTTGAATGCAAGTAGAAGGTAGGCTATTGCTCTAAAATATCAATGCAATATTGCAAGAACTGTAATATTTATAATATTATAATAGTATGAACAGACTATTTATTGACATAGACTTTCATGCTTTTCTTTTTATGATCAATAACTTAGTGGTTGGTAATTGTTTGTGTAATAATAAACAAAAAACAAAACTAAAATTAAGCAAACATAAAATTAGGCCTTGGTACCTATTATGACATTTGCCATACAGGAAAAACATCAATTAAGAAAAAAAGTTAATTGAAAGATGTTAACTGAAGCACTGCCCTACTATATTTTCCACTTTGTTTTAATGTTTATATCCTATTTATATTTATGTACCCACTACCCATAAACATGTGGTTTGTCACTTTGCATGTTGTAAGACGGCCATTGGGTGCTTATCATAACATCACAAAATGGCAAAGGCTTAGCTCATGAATACTAATTAGATCATTTTAAATAATTTAACATGGTCTTTTACTGTTTTGATGAGGTAGTTTATGAGATGTATGCAGGTCTGTAATCAAGTTTTTGCTCAATTCCAAGGCAAAACTAAATGCAGTTTCAATAGCACAATGTATTTCTGATTAAATGAGCTAATGATTAACTTGATTGGCCAATTGTCGATGTAAGTGACAACTTTGGCTAGAGTAGAAGTTCACTACTGTTTAAAAGTTTGGGGTATGTACAACTTTTTAATATTTTCAAACAAAGTCTTTTACACTCACCAAGGCTGCAATTGTTGGATCAAAAATACAGTAAAAACAGTAATATTGTGTAATATTATTACAATTTACAAGAGCTGTTTTCTATTGTAAAAGATTTTAAAATTTAATTTATTCCTGTGATGGTAAAGCTTAGACTAAGTTATTAAACAGTAAGTCATGTGAGAAATAACCATACATCTTAGCTGCCTCTAGTGGCATATAATCTCTAATAACCTAAAATGATAGAGATTAAATTTAACCTGCTTACAAACGTTTTTAACCTGAGCTTTAAATGTGAGTTTAGAATCAATCAGTATTCCAAGGTATTTATATTGAGAAACTACCTGCAGCCTCACCCCTGACACAAAAACATCCGGCTCTTTACTGATACTATTTGACAGAGAAAAACATACATACTGTTTTGGACACATTTAGTTGCAAGCAATTCTCTTTTAGTCATGCCGATACATTAACCATAGAAGTCGTAAGTTCATTTGTAACTTGTGTGAAACCATTACCACGTAAAAAAGATTACAGTATCATCTGCATACATTTGTATATTAGTGCCAGGACATGCAGAATGAAGATCATTTAACTATAAAGCAAAAAACAATGGACCCAAAATAGATCCCTGAGGAACACCAGTAGATGTACCTAAATCAGTTGATTGATGATTTTGTACTCTAATATGCTGAGACCAATCTGACAGATATGATTCTATCCAATTGAGTGTATGTAAGGAGAAATTAAAACTAGATAACTTAGACTGCTCTAAAACCATACTGCATTGGATGCAAGGTAAATGAACTATTACTCAAGTGACCGCTAAACAGTGGGTAGGAAACTGATTGGCCTATAATTATCGATAGAAAGGGGATCTCCACTTTTAAATATTGGAAAAACAATAGCCGACTTCCAAACACTTAGAAATTTACCCTGAGAAATCAAAAGGTTAATAATTTTGATTAATGTGGAACTAGACTCTCTAAGCATAACAACATCCATACCATATTTATCTTTTGCTCTAGGTGGTTTAAGAGATCTAATCATTCTCATAACGTCTGATTCAGTAACAGGCCTTATACTAAAAACAGGCTCTGTGTCACATGATCCTTCAGAAATCATTCTAATATGCTGATTTGCCATTATCCATGATGAAAACAGTTGTGGAAACCATAATAATTAATTTTTTTTTTCAGGGTTCTTTGATGAGTAATAATCTAAAAAGAATAGCATTTATTTAAAAATAGAAATGTAAAAGTCTTTACTAAAAGTATTCATTTATTAAAAAAAAATCTTACTGTCCCCAAACTTATCAATTATCAGTGTACTTTTCAATTCAGTGGTCCCTTTAACTGAGAACTTCAAATCCCTTTAGATAAAAGCATCTGCATAATGAGAACCGTTTACATGCTAAAATGCCAGTTAAACAGGTTGCTTCAGATGTTTTGAACTGACTGTGTACCTGAAATGTTTAAAGTGTGTTAGAAGTTCATAAGAATGCGTGCAAGACTTGAGAAATGTGTTATCTGGCATCTGTGGATGCAAGCTGTGGGCCTGACATTTGAACTTTAGCAGGTGTTACGGCACAATCCTGCCAGTTTTACAATCTATCTTCGATCTCACCAGGAGCAATCATCCTCTCTCCTCAGATTCAGGTGTACAGCCTGGAGACCAGCCAGTGCGAGCTGACCGTGGGGAACTCAGCGGGAGACTTCACCTGCGTCAACCTGAGAGACAGCCACCCTCATCTGCTGGTGTGTGGGAACAAAGACAGGCGGTACGACACGCTCGCAAACATGTAAACCTCATCTATCACTGTTACATTCACACACACACACACGCGCTCGTTTCTGTCTTCTGTCTGGCAACTTAAAGCCTCCTGTGACTTGAGTTTCTTAAACACAGAGAGTTTGATGAGTTCCGATGGAATAGTAGCTCTCTCATTTACACCTACAGCTGGTGCGAATTCTCTTATTTTAGGTTCCATTACATTTCCCTAGAGCAACTAGTTTTATTTTTTAGGATTAGTGGGAATGTTTTGAATGGGTGTATCTCATGAAGCCTGGTGACACAGAGCCTTGGTGTTCATGAGAGACAGATTTGAATTGTGTTCTCATCTCCTTCCCCACTCTTGTCCTTCTGTGGGTGAATCTCACTTTTTAACAGCATGTTTGCGTAAAAAAAGAGATGCCTATTTTTATGACTACTAAGTTTTTTGAATTGCGACATGATTTTCAT